CCTCTCCTCTCCTCTCTTTTCTTTTTTTCGAGACATAGTTTCTCTGTGTAGCCTTGTTATCCAGGAACTTGCTCTGTAGACCAGGTTGGCCTTAAATTCAGAACCTTTGCCTCCCAAGCGCTTGGATTAAAGGATGCCCTACTTATAGTTTTCTTTCTTTCTTTCTTTTTTTTTTTTTTTGGTTTTTCGAGGCAGGGTTTCTCTGTATAGTCCTGGCTGTCCTGGAACTCACTCTGTAGACCAGGCTGGCCTTGAACTCAGAAATCCACCTGCCTCTGCCTCCCAAGTGCTGGGATTAAAGGCGTGCGCCACCACTGCCTGGTTGCTTATAGTTTTCTTATGCACTAGACTACCTTTAATGTTCTTTTTGTGTAGATACTTCAAGTTTAATGAACTGAGTTTTCATTTATTGTATACTTTTATCCAGCTACATTACTAATATCAGTAAGATTTTTATTATTTATTAGTTTAACTTTTTCCTAAGATCCTATCCTTACCCTATCCCATCTCTGGTATTATGTAGTTATTGTTTAATTCACATTTTGTGCTTGCTGTCCTTCCTGGAAGCATCTAAGAGTTTTCTCTGTATTCTTGGAGTCCGTGTGTTTTGCTAGGATGTGTCATGGTAGGTTATATGTGTAACTTTTTCCCATTTAACCTAACCTATAATTTGATAGGCATTTTTCTTTTTTTTGTAATAATTTTAAAAAGATTAGTGTAAAATTATTTTCAAAGTAGCCACTAAAGTACTAAGATGGCAAATTTTGAGATTTGAAACATGAGAAACACTTGAGAACAATGTAGTGGAACCTGAAAAGCAAAATGTACTTAAGGCTATAAAAGTTCAGACTCTGTGAAATGCTACTGTTGTAGAGTCTGCTTGTTAACTACAGTGTCACAGAAGCAACACAGGCAGGTGTGATGCTGCCTTTGGCCGCGGACCATTCTAGCTTTATTATGTCATCCAGTCCTTACAGCAGCCTTAGCAAAGGCTATGCTGCTCCCCTGCCTCCACTGCTGCTCCCCTGCCTCCACTGCTGCCCCCACTGCTCCAGTTACTCTTTTTAAAATTTTTTTTATTATTTAAAAAAAATTTAAATTTAAATGTATTTTGATCATATTCTTCCTCTCCCCCAAGTCCTAACCTGTACTCTCCCCCATACCCATCTAACTTCTTTCTCAAAACAAACAAAAAAACTATATAACAAAACCTTCTCAAACCAAAAACCCAAAAAAAAACAAAAAAAAACCCCAAAACCCCAAAGCTAAAATAAAACCATACACACAGAAGCACACACGCATGCAAGCACACACATGTGCATATTCTTGCACACTGTAACCAAATAAACATGAGGCCTATCCTGAGTGGTTGGTACACCCAGTGTGGCTCTATTGGAGAAAACTGATTTCTCCTCCTAGGAAGTATAAGTGACAGTTCAGTTGTTAACTTCACCCTAGTGGCTAGTTTTTCATTCTTTCATTCATTTTTCTTTTTAAGAAATCCGTAACAAAATACACTAAGATAAAGCAAAAACTATTATATTGGGTTTGGACAAGACAAACCAACAGACGGAAAAGATCCCATAAGATGGCACAAGCATCAGAAACCCACTTGTTCACATACTTAGGAGTCCCTTAAAAACAGTAAACTGGAAGCGAAAGTACAAACACAGAGGACCTGATGCAGACCATGCAGACCCTGTTCATGCTGCTTTAGTCTCTGTGAGTTCATATGAGCTGTGCTCATGTTGAGTTAAAGGACTTTGTGTTTTTAGAGTCTTCTGTCTCCTCTGGCAGCTTGTATACTCTCTGCACCCCTTCTTCTGTGGGGTTCTTTGAGATCTGAGGGGAGATCTGTAGAGGCATCCTGTTTAGGGTTGAGTGTTCCAAGGTCTCACTCTCTGCATCTTGTCTGCCTGTGGGTCTCTGTGTTCATTCCATCTGCTTCAGGAGGAGGGTTCTGTGATGATAATTGAGCAGGGCTCTGATCTGTGAGTATAGAAGAATGTCATTAAGAGTCATTTTATCACTACATTTCTTTGTCTTTTTTAGACCAGTATTATTTGGTTTTACCCTCAGTCCCTAGGCTATCTAGTCTCAGGTTCTTGGTCATCCAAGCAGTGTCAGGTATGGGTTCTTCCTTTAGTCTAATCAGTTACTGGCTGGTTACTCCTAGTCCTAGCACATTTTGCAGGCAGTACACCATTGTAGATAAAGCATTTGTATCTGGCTTGGTGTTTATGTTTCTCTTTTGCAGGATACTTTCCTATAACCAAAGATGCTGAAATGTAGGGAGTGAAGGCTCTATGTAGGCACTGGCTTGACAATCTCCATCTTCAGTGAGTTGGATAGATGTTGTAGGGCCTTGCTGACAGTTTGTAGAGAGCAACCTTGTTAGGCATTTTCAATCTGAAGACTTAAGTTGAGAGAAATTCCTTATCATGAGGAATTCTAAGTTGTTATTATTATTATTATCTTATATGTATTGATGTTTTGGCTGCATGTATGTTTATGTTTATGTGAGAATGTCAGATCTTGCAGTTACAGACAGCTGTAAGCTGCCATGTAAGTGCTGGGATTTGAACCCTGGTTCTCTGAAAGAGCAGTTAGTGCCCTTAACCACACTGAGCCATCTCTCCACCCCTATAGTTCAACTCTTATAGCTAGTTTTCCAACTAAGTCTATTTTGTTTCTCCTCAAGATTGTCTTTTGTTCTTTCTTTCTTTCTTTCTTTCTTTCTTTCTTTCTTTCTTTTTTCTTTTCTTCCTTCCTTTCTTTTTTTTTTTTTTTTGCTTTGTTTTGAAAGGCAGGGATTCTCTGTGTAGTCCTGGCTGTCCTGGAACTCACTCTGTAGACCAGGCTGGCCTTGAACTCAGAAATCCGTCTGCCTCTGCCTCCCAAGTCAAGTGCTGGGATTAAAGGCGTGCACCACCACTGCTTGACAGGTTTTTTTTTTTTTTAAATATTTATTTATTTGTTTATTTAATTTCATGTCTGTGGGTATACTGTCTCTGTCTTCAGACACAACAGAGACAGCATTGGATCCCATTTCAGATGGTTGTGAGCCACCATGTGAGTGCTGGGAATTGAACTCAGGACCTCTGGAAGAGCAGTTGGTGCCCTTAACTTTTTGAGCCATCTCTCCAGCCCAAGATTGTCTTTTTTTCAACAGATACTTTATTAGAATATAATTTCCATACAATAGGACCTCTTTTACATGAACACTTTTATGAATTTTAAGTTATAGTCATGTAAGCATCATTATAATGAAGCATTTTCATAATGTCCCAAACGGTTCATGCCATTTGTAACTACTTATTCTGCTGACTCTAAGCATCTGACACATTTCACATCTGTTCTGGATGGTTTTGTCCTTGACTTTAGGTTTTTGAAGAATTCCATTTTTTTTCCTTCCTTTTTTTGGGCAGAGGGTGTTATTTGAGGCAGGATTTCTCTGTAGCTCTGGAACTTCCTTTGTAGACCAGACTGGCCTTGAACTCACAGAGATCTGCCTGCCTCTGCCTCCCTAGTGCTGGAACTAAAGGCTTGTGCCATCACACCCAGTTACAGTGAACGTTTTTAACTGTTGATCCATTTCTCTAGCCAGAGGACTTTGACCCCTAGTTGCTGTGTAAAAATTTTGGCGTGGCAGGAGTGCCTATATTCCAGGGGCTTAGGAGGCAGAGATAAGAGGATACCTGGTATTTGTTGGCCAGATTGTCTTGCTGAATTGATGAGCTCCAGGGTCAGTGAGAGACACTTTTATAAAATAATGAAGAGAGTGATTGAGGAAGACACAAGACATTGACCTCTGGCTTCTGCACACTTTATGCAGCTCCCTACACCCACATGCACATGCCTGCATGAACATATACATTCAACACAAATACACATACACACAAAATAAGTGGAGACTGGGAAGATACCCAATGTTGACTTCTGGTTTCCACATGCAGACATGTATGCATGTACACACACAAATACGTAACACTTGTATATACCACAAGCATGCACACATACACAAAGAATTTGGATTTTAAGTACAAGGAGAGGCCAGCCTGGTCTACAGAGTGAGTTCCAGGACAGCCAGGGCTACACAGAGAAACCTTGTCTCGAAAAACCAAAAAAAAAAAAAAAAAAAAGTACAAGGAGAAAACACATTGGTTTTATCTAGTTGAAATGTAAATAGTTGTAGGCTATAGTTATAGATAAATACTTTTATGAAGTCCATATTCCTTCTGCGTGTGTGTATGTGTGTGTCTTTTCTGTGTTTCTCTGACAGGGTCTTTTTATGTAGCTCTGACTGGCCTGGAACTCTCTATGTAGATCAGGCTGGCCTCAAACTTACAGAGATCTGCCTGCCTTTGCCTCCCAACCACTGGAATTAAGGGTGTGTGCCACCACACCTGACCCCACATATTCCTTGTTAGGTCTTTGAAGTCAAGACATGTGGCTCAGTTGTAATAGCCTCCTATCCAGTGTGAAAGCAATTGTGTTGCTAGAGATGCTTAAGACAATGGCTTTGATACTAAATGTATCTCTCAGTTATTGTATCTGCTCCATGGATCTAGACATGTTCTCTTGGAAACATCTAGAATGTTAATCAGACCTTGTAAGCATGTTAAAACTGCAGCTTGTGTCACATTCACTCACATTGTGTTGTATCCAAATCAGTCTGGACTAAGCCCAAATATGAGCACATGCCACTCTTGGAGGGCCAAGAGAAAAAGAAACATTTGCTAAACAATAACGATAACCAAAAGAAATAGTGTTTTTCTTTGCCTTGGGACAATAGATTTTACTTCTGGATGATTTTGTTGCCCGTACCTGAGCCCCAACCTTTAGCAGTATCTGCAGATATTTAATTGTCATGACTGTGGAAAGGAGGAAGAATTGTTGTTGTTTTCTGGGTATCAAGTAAGTAAAAGTCAGGACAGCCACCTCCCCACAAAGCATCGTTGAGTCCAGAAGATAAATAGTGCCAAGAATAAGAATTGCGGTCTTTGAGAAGTAGCTGTGTGTCAGAATCACCCCAGAGAGCCATCAAACACAGACTCCGAGGGAGGCTGACCGCTCAGAACTGCTGGTGTCGCAGTTCTAGAATGCTGTTGCTGCTGTAAGGGCCACGCTGGAGGAAGCACTGCAGCTGGAGAGTGCTCAGCTGTGGAGTACTTGCTGCTTTACAGACGATCTGAGGTCAGAGTCTCCATTGTACAGCTCACAGTGCCTCTAACTCCACTCCAGGGGATTCAGTGCCCTCTTCTCTCTACAGCAAGCACTCTCATGCACGTGCACACATGCACACAAATACATAAAAAATAAAACCTTAAAGAACCACTGAAGACTGGTAGGACATACAGACTTTTTTCCTCCTCTGAGTAATACCTTACATGGGTACATAATCCCTGTCAAAGCTGTTAAAACAGATCTGCCAAGGTCTTGTTAAACTCAGATATAGTAATGAAGCTGGGAGCCTTAGAAAAGAGGTGGTGAGTTTATGTTTATAAGACATCCTGCTTGTGAGAAAAAAATATGGAAATGAAGGCTGGTAATCATACTTAGTGTCCTAGAGGTAAAAATCCAGAGTAATCAGTTCCCAAAAGATTAAGCTTATTAGTTTTTTCCATTAATCTTTCATAAGTAATGTCTTAGAAACATATTTCAAATTAGTCTTGAGTTAAAAGATTTTTGCTATTTATTTTGCTTAACACTAAATATTTTATGAAATTCTTTGAGCTAAGATACAAATAAAGTTGTAAAACGGGGAAAAAAACTCAGCCAACGTCAAATAAGTAGAAAAAGCCTTTAACTCAATAGAACATTTAACTAAGGTCTCTCTTACGAATCATGAGAGTTAGCTATCCTTATTAGGGAACTTAAAAAGTAGCAAAAAGGGGCCGAAGAGATGTCTAGGTGGTAAAGAGCACTGACTGCTTTTCCAGAGCTCCTGAGTTCAATTCCCAGCAACCACATGGTGGCTCACAACCATCTGTAATGGGATCCAGTGCCCTCTTCTGGTGAGTCTGAAGAGAGCAACAGTGTACTCACATACATAGAATAAATAAATCTTTTTTAAAAAAGTAGCAAAAAGCAAGTATGACATACTGAGCCTGCTTACATCTACCTACTTTAAAGGCTATCACGGGGTGGGTCGTTCTTATGATCCAATTATAAAAGGATAAAAACTTGGACTTATGCAAATAGAGACCTTATATATCTCCAAAGATGATTTTTAAAACCTAGCCACCTAAAACATTTGTCATAGTATAAACTTTAGTGTGTGTAAGGGGATCGAACCCAGGGCCTCACACTTTTAAAATAAACAGTCTATCAGTAAACAACAAACACAGCCCATTAGGAGATCGTTAGAGCTGAAATCTAGATGAAAGAATAGAAAAATTCTGGTTAAATTTCATATTCTGTCTTCTATATCAAAATTTCCAGACAAATATGTATGATAATTTTATATATATATTTTTTTTGTTTTTGTTTTTTTTTTGAGACAGGGTTTCTCTGAGTAGCCCTGGCTGTCCTGGAACTCACCCTGTAGACCAGGCTGGCCTTGAACTCAGAAATCCGCCTGCCTCTGCCTCCCAAGTGCTGGGATTAAAGGCGTGCGCCACCACCGCCCGGCTTGATAATTTTATGTTTTAAATGCTTAACTTTTTCATGGAAATTTGTTGCCATCTTCACTGTTTCTAGGGTTTGGAGTGGATCAGTTACGAGATGACAATCTAGAAACTTACTGGCAATCTGATGGCTCCCAGCCTCATTTAGTGAACATCCAATTCAGGTAATCCAGTTTTTACTTTTTAAATATAGTGTGGGTTATAAGTGGACAAGGAAATTATTTAAATAAAAGTTCAGAAAATACGGAAATTAAAATGAAAATACTTAATTGCTTTCAGACTCTATTTAGCCATCCAGATTGCAAGCAGCTTCAGTATATTCTGTTTTATCTTTATGTGACCCTGTCTCCCTACCCCCTCACCGTGTGTGTGTGTATGTATGTATGTAGGGTGCACATGCACACAGTTGAATGCATGAATGCACATACATAGGCCCAGGTTGATGGTCAGTGTCTTTTCCCGGTTGGTCTGAATCTTTATATTTTTGGGGCAGGGTCTCAGTGAACCTGAAGGTCATCACTATGGCTAGGCTGACTGGCCACTGAGCTTCGGGGTCCACCTTCTCTGCCCTTCCTCCTGCCTCGTCCCGAGGAGTTAAGAGTTACAGGCATCTCTCTTTCCCATGTGTTCTAGGGATCTGAGCTCAGGTACTTACATTTGATCCACTGAGTAGGCTCCTTAGTCCTCATTGTACATTTCTGATACTTTATATAGATAGCTCTGAAATAATTTGATTTAATTTAGGAGATACAGTAGAAAAATATATTTTATGATCTGGTATAATGCCTTAATATATGATGCTTGTAAGTTTTTTAGGTATGACATTTATGTACTTGTCATATTTGCACTTAACTTTTGAAAAAACTTGACATTGAATCTGAGTTTTAAAATGATGACTATTTTTGAGATAGGAAAATACCTGTATGTTTGTCTTAATGCTCTGGATTTACTGGCAGTATGAAAGCTAGTCAGCCTGGGTATCTTCCTACATTATACCCGCTACCATTCTAAGATGCTAGGTTTTAGGTGCTTCCTTCTGCTGTTGTAGGGTACATATCAGCAAACTTCTTTTGAGTAGATAGTAAATGTTTAAGTCTTATAGTGCCTCTGGTCTCCATTTCAGCTCTGCAGTTCTGCCATTACAGTATCGAAACAGCCAAATGTCAACACATTAGTGACTGAGTTTAGTGCCCTCAGTTAAACTGTATTCTCCAAAAGCAGGTGCAAAGCAGCAGTTTGCTGACACAGTGTGCCAACATTCTAAGTTGCCAGTGATACCAGTTAACTTTTTTAAAGGTTAATATACTAGCTACTGCCAGGCATGATGGTGCACACCTTTAATCCCAGCACCTGGGAGGCGGAGGCAGGCAGATTTCTGTGAATTTGAGGCCAGCCTGGTCTACAGAGTGAGTTCTAAGACAGCCAGAGCTACTCATAGAAACCTTGTCTCAGAAAAAAAAATCAGGACTACTTTACTACTGATAATATTCCTCATCAGTGACACCAGATTCCTGATGAGAGACAGCTTAAAGGAGGATTTTGTTTCATAGTTTAAGGGTGTAGTACATTACGATGTAGGCAGCATAATGGTAGAAAAGCGAGGCTGATGGTTCACATTTTATTAGATAAGAGGGCTGAACCAGGGCAGTAAGTGGGGTCAAGTTATAAATGTCAAGGCTAATCTATCTTCCAACTCACATATTAAGTAACTGGCTTCCTCTAACTTGGCCCCACCTTTCAATAGTTCCATTTGTTCGGGACATGAGCCTATAAGGGACATTTTCCATTTGACTTAGGCCCATAGCCATCTCAGTATGCACAATGTATTCAGTCCATCTTTAAAATTCTCAATAGTCCTCCAGTTATCTTACCTTTCAAAATTCCAAGTTCAGAATCTCTTCTGAGACTTAAAAGCAGTCTCTTTACTGCAAACCCCTGTAAGATTTAAAAAGAAAAAAACTATACATACAGTTTTAGCATACAGGTAAACATTCCAATTCAAAGGAGACAAACGGGAGCTTGAGAAGGAAAGAGCAGACCAAAGCAAGACCAAGCTTAGCAGGTTAACCCGAGTTTTGTGTCTTGATGTCCATCATCGTGCTTCATAGGCTTGGGGAGGTCCACCTTTCAACTTCAGGCCTATAACATGTATGACTTCTCTTTTAGGCTAGCTCCACGCTTTTTGGGTAGTGGTGGTGGTGGGGTGGATATTCATGTTTCTGATTTCTCTAATATACTGGGTTTCCATTGCAAATTAGGCTTTGTCCTTCACACCTTCATACATAGCCCACTCATCAAGCTATACCCTAGAGTTTTCAGTGGGTGGGGTTATGCTTTGAGGTTTCAAAAGTGCATGCCACACCCAGTCTCTCTTTGCCTGCCTACAGATAAAAGTGTGTAGGCTCTCAGCCCCATGATGCCATGATGATCATGGACTAACCGTCTGAAACTATAATCATGCCTGCAATTAAATGCCTTCTTTTATAAGTGTTGTCTTGGTCATGGTGTCTTCACAGCAATAGAACTGTGACTCAGACAACTGCCAACCTATCTACTTCTGTGCGGCTTTAACTGGGCTCATACTCCTTTTCCTATTCAGACCTCTCCTTTTCCGTATCTGTCTGCTTTCTCACCACAAATGTGGGCAAATGTAGTAAGCCGTAAACAGGACACAGCTTGAATGTTACATGAGGTGACGTGTTCTTCACCAATTAATCTCCATCATCATCTTGATTAGGTTACAATTTCTGTGGTGACTAGTTTTATGTCAGTTGATACAAGCTAGAGTTATCTAAAAGGAGGGAAACTTAATTCAGAAAATGCCTCCTTAAGATCTGGCTGTAGGACGTTTTCTTAATTAGTGATTGATGGGGAAGCTCAGCCCATTGCAAGTGGTGCCATCGTTGGGCTGGTGCTCCTGGATTCTATAAGAAAGCAGGCTGAGTGAACTGTGGGGAAGAAGCCTGTAAGCAGCACCCCTCTATGACTTCTGCATCAGCCCTGCCTCTGTGTCCCTGCCCTGCTTGAGTTCCTGCCATCACTGCTTTTGATGATGAACTCTTATGTGGAATTGTGAGAGAATTAAACCCTTCCCTCCCCAAGTGGCTTCTGTTATGGGATTTCATCACAGCTATGTTAACCCTAACTATGACAGTCCCCTAGAAGACACACTCCTGGGTCCATCTGTGAGGGCTTTCCAAAAATGTTTAACTGAAGAAGTGAGATTCACCTTGAATATTGCTGGCATCATTCCATGGCCTGGGGACCTAAAGTGAGAAAAAGAGAAAGAGGAGAAAGCCAAAGGAATGGCAGCACTTCCTGTTCTTTGCTTCTGGTTCTGCACAGATGTGAGCTAGTAGCCTCACACCTGGTGCCATAGCCATGAGCTCTTCCTATGCCATTCCCTTTCATGATGGGCTGTGCCTTCTTGTCAGGTGTCACAACAATGAGAAAAATAACTGATACCTCATTTATATTTAATTTAACCTTTATAATTTATTAGAGGCCTAGATAAACTAGTCCAGGTCATATAATAAATAAGTTGTAGAATTACAGTTTGAATATAAGTATTCTGATTTCAGAGCCTGTGCTTTTTGACATTCTGTCCTATAAACCTGAGACAAATTGCTGGTCTAGGAATACAAGTATGATAGCTTAAAAATTCAATATTGTGCATCCAAATTTAATTGTTCAATACTAGCATTTGTTGTGTAAATTACACTCTATACTGTATACTAAAAACAATCATGAAATAGTATATACTTCACTTCTTGAATAGTTTTAATAGAATTTTTAGATATATACCTTTTTTGGTAATCTATGGAATCCCCTTCTGAGATAGAGGATCTATCATTTTTCTCATTATTAGAATCAAATGGTAGTTCTGTTTAATATTTTAAGGTATGTCCATACTGTTTTACATAGAAATACCCTATTTTACATTCCCACGGACAGTGCATATTAACCTCATTTCCTCCCCACATTACGTCAGAATCTGTGGTTTTCTTTTTTGAAGTAATGATCATATTAATTTGTGTGAAGTGGTAACACAATAGATTTTATTCTTGTTTCCCAGGTAGATTTGTTACTTCTCTCAGGTAAAATGGCTGACAGATGCCACTTAAGAGGAAGGGTTACTTTGGTTCAGTTTCAGAGGCTATAGGCTGTCATGGCAAGGAAGGTGTGGTGGAAGAAGCAGCAGGAGCGTGTGTGTGCATGTGTGTGTGCAGCAGCTCTTCACATCTTTACAGATTAGAAAGATAGACTAGTTTATCCTTCAAAGATCTACCTCAGTGACACGTCCTTGTCAGCCATGCCCTACATACTAAACCTTCATAATCCCTAAAATCGTGCCACTAGCTGGGAACCAAGTGTTCAACTACAGGAGCCTGTGAGGGTCATTTGACATTCAAACCATAACACCTAGTGTACTTACTAGACATTTGTCCTCTTTGAAGAACTGCTATTTAAATCCTTTGCCCATTTTAAAGTTGTTTCTGTTGCAGATTTATAAAAGTACTCTGTTGCAGATACTCATTTTTTTTTGTTTTAATGTAAAAGCAATCACAGAAAACATGTAAATGAATACTTCTTTAAGTAAAACTTTATTTAAAAAGTAGATGGCGCACACACATTTGGCTTGTACTTGCAAGCTATAACTCATTAGTCCTGTTTTAGTAGATTTTCTCAAACTTTTGTTCTTAATGCCCATGGTAAACTTTGATTTAGGACTCCAACAATTTTTTGTTTACTTTTTTACTTACCATATTAGAAATTATGTGAAGAATTATAATAAGTTTAGTCATTCATTAAATTTAGTAATACCCTATTATATGTTAGTATATATGACAACTTTATAAAAAGTAATTGTTTCTTCCCAGACTGAGACGAGTGTTACTTTTCTTTTCTGTGACCCTCTTTGTTCTCTGACTTATAGCAGCTGGACTCTGAGTTCTGCTTCGTCACTAAGGCTTTTTCGGAATCCTTTCTAGAAAACTACTGTATACTTTGAAAGGCTTACTCAGAAAGGTAGACCACAAACTAGCATTAACAAGAGAATGCCTGTCACCTTCCTTACCTGAGTCTCCAGACAGTGTATAATGCTGTCTGTTTTGTCAAAATTAGCATCCTTAGGTTGTTTGCTATCTAGGGTCTGAAATAAATGTAGGCATTTTCTTTGGTTGGAATTGCGCTCATGCCCAGCCCTCCGTGACCTTTGGCTTGCGGTTCTCATCCGTGCTCTCCCAGTGGTGGGTCTCTACCTGTGATCCAGACTTGTACCTCCTCCCTGCCTGTCCATCTGCTGTCCCACTAGTCCTCTTTGTGCTGTGTGTTGAGACTGCCAGACTTTGTTGGCGTCTTACCTCCATTTCAGTTCAGAGATGACCACAGGGTGCCCACTTGAGGGTTCTCCGTGTTGCTTCTTTTGCTCTGGACCTGTAGTTCTGCGGCTCTCAAGCCTGCAGTAGTAGTTCTGTGTTTTCTTGTATTCTAGAGTTTGTGGTAAGAAGGCAAGTCTTGCAGCTTTTCTGTGGCCAGAAGATATCCTAGACTTTTTTTTTCTTTGTCTTTTAATACTATATATGCTGAAATTTAATATTAAATTTTCATCTGTCCTCTTTTTAGTAGAAGTTCTATTTTAGCATCCGATTAATGATTAGAAACAAACCCCAAAACACATTTTTACTATTGTAGGAACAATATATATTATTTGCTTTTGTTTTAGACAAGTGTGTGAGCCATATGCTATTTAGTATTGTTATATAGCATGTTAAGAGGGAAAGTAAACAGAATTTTACAGTTATTTTGTGTTTTAAGTATTGTACATTAGGAGTTATTTACATTAATGTAGTGTAATTATAGACTTAGATTAATTTTTGACTATCTCTTAGATTTGTAAGTAAGGACTTCTTGGTTAGCTTGTTCTCAGTGCAAGTTTTCTCATCTGTGCAGTGGACATAATATGTGTGAGCTAGCTCTAGTATAGAGTCTTGAACAAATGTTTTCAATGAGGTGAACATTTATTGCCTCTGTTTTCCATGCAAGAGAAAGCTAAAGAGTGCTGTGATAGATACCCTGAGGGTGTTCGTGACTCTGGGTCACTCACTTCTTTCACTCTTTCCTTCTTTTCTCTTAGGTTTTAGTTTTAAGGTGAACTTATGACTCCTACTGGAGTTCCGAGAATTCCAGTACCTCTGAATTCCAGGAAGGAATAGGAAGGAAGACAAAAGGGACATATCTTCCCTTGAAATACTGCTGCACTATAATGCAAGATTAGACATTGACAGGCTACAATTTACTTATAACTACTTTTCAGGTAGCATGCCTCTTTTAGTTGGATATTTTGAAGAAAGAAGGGATAAAGGATAACGGTAGCTATGAATACCTGTTGCAGACATCTTCCATTGTAATGTCATAGAATCTTTTTTGTTGTTGTTGTTTTTCAAGACACAGTTTCTCTGAATAGCCCTTGCTGTCTTGGAACTCACTCTGCAGACCAGGCTGTCCTTGAATTCACAGAGTTCCACCTGTCTCTGCTTCCCAAGTGCTGGGAAGCTACCACTGCCTGGCATGCCAAAGATTCTTAACTAGATGAGGAATTATTCAGGAGTCAGCAAGTACAGGACAAAATATCACTTGTTAGAACTGAGGCGCTAATGAGAAGCACACTAACTACATTCAATCTTCAGTTAAGGGTATATGGTAATAGCAAACCCTAGAATTAAAGACTTACTAAGACTTACATTTGTAGATAAACCAGATATGCTTGGTTTTATTAGATGTGTGGCATGAAGGAACAAAGGCAGTGCTAGCTTCCTGCCTGAAACTGTTAGGAGAAAGTGTTTTTAATAGGAAAACTGAGGGAAGTCAAGAATGTCAGCCAGTATCAGGGAAACATTTCTCCCTTTCCCTTCTAGCTGTGTTTCCTAGGAGTTTAACAAGGCGCTTGGCATATAGTAGGTGTTCACTCCGCACAGTGCCCATAATTACAATGTGATTTGAGGAATTGCAGCATTTTCCACTATGACTCAGTTGTATATTTTATCTTCCCATGTGCATTATTTGAGAAACAATGTGATTTTAATGCAGTATTAGTACTTTTTGAATTAGTATGAGGAAAACTTTAGTTGCTTTAAAACCATTTCACTGTACCTCATACAGTAGCAGTTTTAAACTTTTGGTGCAGTAGCAGTTTCTTCTACAAACCTAGTATACATATGTATATAGCATAAATTATATCCATCATTTCTGATGCATAAGCCTCAAGAAAAGAAGTATGGTTTAGTGCAAATGTGAACAAGTGCAACTGTCTACAGCACTGTAAACTGATAGAGTACAATTAACTAAAGGAAGACAGACAGACACATCTGAGCTTTGCAAGGGGCCTTGCATGTAGTAGGCATTCAGTGTGGTGACCGTGAGCAGAGGGAAGCTTTGAGTGGTTTCTGCATCTTCCACTTGGACTCAGTCTGTTCTTTAGTCTTCCCACGTGCAGTCACTCGATAAATGACAGGATTTTCTGTGTAGAATTAGAGCACTTAGGAACTTTTCTACGTAGCTCATTTACCCTAGTGTTACTTCTTTAGTCAGAAAGAAGTGAGCTGGTGATGGAACCAAGGGAGAATATATATGAAGCGTTAGTTCTGGGTCAGACACAAAGTATTCTCTTGCTGTGTGTTGCTGTGGTTTTTATTTTCATTGATTTTTACCATTCTTTACCTTTCTAAACTCACCCTGGTATTGAAGCTACCCTGAATTTCATAATTTTGGAAGTCATACTATTCTGTAAAAAGATTTATTTTTTATATCTTGTTTTTTCTTTTTAATTTCTGTGGTCTCTGATCTCTCTGTCATAGGAAGACCTTTACTTCCTGCTTATGGCTCATTAGATGGTCTTTAGTAGCCTTAAAGTGTCCCTGCATCCTTTGCTTTCCCTGATGTGTCCTTGCTGAGATGTCAGTTTGGTGGCTCTGGCTCTTGGCTTTTTGGAAACATATGTAGGTATCTGTCCTGTCAGCACTTCCTGGGTCTTGTGTATTTTTTGAAAAAAAAAAAAAAAAAAAAAAAAACTTTACTTTTGCCCTTTTTTCGGGTATATAAGTTTGCTTTCCCAGAGAAGACCTGGAGACCCCTGTTTTATAGGCTGGCCTTTAACATAGGCTACTTTTGTTCAAGGAACTCATTGTTACTAAGCAGTACCAGTTTGCACTTAACTTGTAAAGCCCTTTTTAGTAGACTTCTAAATGTTTCTGGAGGGTTGTTTTTAAAAATTGCCTATTTTTCTTCCCTGATGACCAATGACACATATTTATCTTGAAAAAATTATTCAGAAAGTACAGAAATCATAAGGAAGAGAATTAAGGTGATATGAGTGGGAAGCATTACGGCATGCAGGCCGACAGTTCAGAATCTGGGTCTGCAGGCAGCAGGGAGAGAGACACTGGGCCTGACTGGGCTTTTAAAACCTCAAAGCCTACTCCCAGTGACAAACTTCCTCCAACAAGGCCCTGCTGTGTTTCCTAATCATCTTAAGTACTGCCACTTCCTGATGCGTAAGCATTCAAATACACGCTCCGATGGGAGTCCTTCTACAAACTTGCACACCCCTCGCCTAAGGCATTCCTTCTCCTGCCTCTAGACATCAGTAGCCCCTCTTTAGCTTCCTGACCTTTATCACTACTCCAAGTTAAACACACAAAGCTAACATGATCAGAAAGCAATGGACTTTCATTTCACTTGAGCCACAAATGTATTTACTGATTCAGTACTCTTTTTCTAATGAAATTTGGATACTGCCAGTCATTCTGATATTTTCTAGTATGAAGATAAACAAATATCTCTGTTTAAATCTCTTCCTTTGTTTTTTAGAATAGGATATTTTCTCATGTTTTCCTTTCTTTTCCATTCCCCGAGGTGCTTTTCTATAATGTGTTTTTTTTCTTATTTCCAAGGGGTAGGTATGTATATTTTAAAAATGGAATATAATTTTATTTTGTACATTAAGTGGCATGGTATGCTTTTTATTTTTAAGTTGTTTATTTATTGAGTTCATTTTCTCACTTAGGTTTTTTTTAAGTATTAATATAAGGAATTAAGTAATTAATTAGTAAAGAAATTCAAGCATGTTAGAACACTTACTTTCCTTGTCTAATGTCTAAATAAAAAGGATGGACGTTATTAATGTTGAAGTACCTAATTTGCCTGAAATGCATCTTTGCATATATTTAGTCCTTTACAATGTTCTCAGTGAGGTATGTCTGTGTAAAATACTATATTGGTACTTATGTATTTTACATGTTTTAGTCTGCAAGTTGAAATAAAATAAAAGGAAATTGTTGATTGAAATACTTGTGATGTATGTATGTACATATGTACGTATGTAGGTGTATATGTTTTTTGAGACAGGGTTTCTCTGTGTAGCCCTGGCTGTCCTGGAACTCACTCTGTGGACCAGGCTGGCCTCCAGGTCAGAGACCCACCTGGCTCTGCCGCCAAGTACTGGGATTAAACACATGCACCACCACTGCTCACTTTGGCTTGTCATTTTTAACATCAGAAGAGAAGACGCTTTGGCACTAAATCTTTGATATGTATGATAAAGCACATGCTTTTATTTTATTGTTTTTAGAAGGAAAACAACAGTGAAGACATTGTGTATTTATGCAGACTACAAATCTGATGAAAGCTACACTCCAAGCAAAATCTCAGTCAGAGTAGGAAATAATTTTCATAACCTTCAAGAAATCCGGGTATGTTTTTTTATTTTTTTTAAAATGTGTGTTTCTTTAACTCATTCTATAAATGATAATCATAAAACAAGAATATTATATTGAAAACTATGCATGTAATATATTTTTAAACTGCCATCTTTTTTCTAATGCTTTATTATAGAATTTTCAGTTATAAGAAAGGCTAGAAGAATTGCACAGTAATCCCCTCAAGTTTGGAATGCTTTAATGTTTTACTACATTTGCTTTATTGAGTTCATTTTTTAATTCATCAAAATAAGTACCATCTAGGTTGTAGGAACATGTTCATTTTCACTGCTGATTAAAGAATTAAAAGGCAGGAAACAACTGTTACCAGAAATCTTGGCAAGTCCTACTGGTGCCATCATATAATAATTGGGAAATCAGGGTCTCCTTTTGAGGTTCTTAGTCTCATTAATGAAAAAAAAAAAGGAATGGACTCATGGAAACTCATGGACAATTTATTTATAGTTTAAGAGAAAAATTCAAGGGCATGCAAGCTGTAAAGTTAACAGTTGCTCAGAGGAGAAGAATGGAGGAAAGAGGGGGAGGCCATGCTGTTTGAGATCAGCTGACATAGGTCAGCCTCGGTCAGCAGAGTTGTATGCTAGTGGGGCAGCTGTAGAGAAAGAGTAAAGGCGCCCAGAACCAGGGAGAGCATGCTGGGTCTCTAGCCAGGATCTGAAAGACAAAGACAGAAGAGAAGGTCATAGCTATGAAAGGAAGACACAGACAAAACTCAACAACTCTTAGGGCTGCACTAGGGAAGGAAACTGCATTATCTAATGGTGAACTCAGTTCCTCAAGGTAGTCCCCTAGCCAGGTCCTTGGCCTGCTCCCACTGAATCAGTCATCAAGGGAGGAGATGAGGACATACTTCCAGCTTGAGGTAGATTCCACTGTTTACTATAACCTCTTTATTTCTAAATATGTGAGCATGATATATTATTAGTAAGCATACTTAATATTAATTCTAAGGGAAACATAATTTTATACAAATTTCAAGTATAGTATTTGATGAGGTTTACAAATGCATGTATCTGTATAGCTCTACTTCTTTAAAATGAGGAACGTTTTTCTCTGTGTCTACTGTCATGGGATGTCTTTTCTGTCCCTTCACTCTTGAATCTGTATGTTCTGAAATATGAGGTCAGCACCTTATAGGCAGCGTGTACTCAGTTGAGCCCTGACTGTGCACTAGCCACTCGGTATTTGATTGAAGGATTTAGTCCTCTGTAATCCCAGTGATGATCAGTAGGCTGGGATTTACTGCTGGCATATTTTCATTGCCTTTTGATCACATGAGGCTCTTTGTACTTTCTTCTCTTATTTTGTGCTTAGGTAACTTTCCCATGTATTTCCCAAAGCTTAGTCTCTGTCTTTGCATAGAGCTTTGTGATTAACACAAGTTTTATATAAAAAAATTTATGGTCGTAATAGCTACTTATTGTAAACTAATAACGACTTATCTTTGATTACATACGTTTACTTAACTGCCTCATGCTTTGTTTTGATGCCAATAAATATATGCCTTTTTATATAGAATCGTTAAGTTTTAGTGGAGAAAACAAGAGAAACAAATACCCATTTATACTAGGTAGGTGTTTTAGTTAGGGTTCCTATTGCTATGATGAAATACTATGTTTGACCAAAGCAACTTGGGAAGTATTAGTTTGCTTGCTGTTCCATGTAACAAGCTCATTTTTAAAAGCAGTGAGTGTAGGAACTCAAGCAGGGCTGGAACCTGGAGGCAGGAGGTGATGCAGAAGCCACGGAGGAGTGCTGCTTACTCACTTGCTCCCCATGGCTCACTCATGGCTTAATTGTAGAACTCAGGACCCCCAGACCAGGCATGGTGCCACCCACAATGGGCTGGGCCTTCTGGATCAGTCACTAATTTAAGAAACTTCCCACACGGGCTTGCCTATAGCCTGACCTTATGGAGGCATTTTCTTGGTTGAGGCTCCCTGCTTCCTGATGACTCTAGCGTGTGTCAAGATGACATAAAACTAGCCAGGACAGTAGGAAATTGAAGATCACTGAATAAACGTTCCCATCCAAGTCTAGCTTAGTGATAAGTGAATTTTGGGGTTACTTCAAAAGTGCAGCTCAAAAGCAGCTGTGTTATTGAAAAGCTCATCCCAGCAAAGTGCCGCTGTCACCGTTGGGATTGAATCTGCTTAGGGATATGTGGCCATCTTCATCCTGGACTTTTGTCTTTCCTCGGATTTGGAAAGGATTTTTGTTCTTATATATTAAAAATTATAAATTGATGTGCTTTTAATGTGAATGATTTCTTTATATGTGTGTGTGGGGGGTGAGGGTTGTTAGTGTATGCACACAAATACAGGGAGCCCTTGGAGGCTAGAAGAGAGTGTTAAGTCCCAAGGAACTGGAGGTCCAGGGGCTTGTGAGCCACTCAACTTGGGGACAGGATCCAAAGTTTGGTTCTCTGGAAGAACAGCAAGAACTCTCAACTGCTGAGCCATCTCTCCAGCCATTTGTTAGTTCTTTAAATAAACTTCTTGTTACTTACTTGTCTTTCTACTTGAGCTCCTGTAACCTGCATTTTTTTTTAAGTTGTCATAAATTGGGCAAGCTTTCTTCCAGATTTTTCTTTTTTTTTCTCTTGTAGCATAATTTCATGGATTCTTTTGGTTATTTCTGCCTTATTCATTGTATTTTTTGGCTGTAGAATTTGTTTTATTAAAAAAACCCAACTTCCATTTCTTATGTGCCTTTCTTATACTCCTTTCTTATTTTGGTTATTTATTGTACTGTGTTTTAAAATTATTTCTATTTTTTTAAAGCTTCTTGAGCTTTCTTAAAGCATTTAATTTGAATTTCAGGCAGTTTAGGACACTGCATTTACTCAGAGCCAGTAAGTGGTGCTTTCTTTTATTTCTTTGGTTGGGTAGTATTTCGTGGATTATTCTTGATTCTTCTGGCATGACCTTACTCTGTGTTCTTGAAGAAGGAAATTATTCTGGTCTTTGAAGACTATCTGGGAAAGCTTACCACCAGCCAGGCAGCTCATCTGGAGGTTCTGGGAAGGACAGTTTTAATGTGATCTATGGGTCTGTTTGCCATTGGAGTCCTCTGGTAGGTTGGCCTGATTCCAGTAGATAAGCTGCTGTGTAAGTCCAGTGTCTCAGCAGTAGTAGAGCTTGATTTTATGAAGGACAACCAGAAGGCTGTGTCTATAGGGGCTGATGTAGCTTTGTGGTAAGTAGCCTTGATCCAGAGAGAGAGAGAGAGAGAGAGAGGGGGAGAGGGGGAGGGGGGAGGGGAGGGGGGAGGGTGAGAGGGAGAGGGAGGGAGGGAGGGAGGGAGAGGGGAAGGGGGAGGGAGGAGGAGGAGGAGGAGGGGAGATGAGGAAGTGGAGAGGGAGAGGAGAGGAGAGGGAGAGAGGAGAGGAGAAGAGAGAGCTGTGGTAGCAGCTGGGTCCTTTCATTTACCACACATGTCTGGAACACCTGGCTGCCAGGTCTTGCAGTGAACAGCTACTGGGTCGCTGAAGGCAGCAGGTCAGCAGGATCGCCTATTACACTAACACTAGGGACGGACTCAGTGTTGGGGACTAATGTGATGGGGCAGGTCCAGAGCCAGTGTACCATGCCAGGCAGAGCTGCAGCCTAAAATCTGTTCCTAAACAGGCAAGCCTGATGAGCATCCATGGGCACTGGCATTCTCAGGAGTTGTGGCATCTTGCCTCATGCTGTATTTTCCTGGATTGGGCTGGGGTCTGAGGCAGTGTCTAGTAGGCAGAGGATATTTCCTCTTACTGTGCTGCTTGGGATCATGGGAAGAGTGGAATGAATGATACAGAACTCAACTTCATGTCCTGCTTAACACCCCCACTCCCACACCCAGGTTCTGTAATCTCACCTGGCTTTCTTACTAGCTTTTGCAAAGGTATTTTTGTGTACAGGTGTAGTTGGTCTAATTGACAGGTTTTGCCAAGTTTCATTTTACCATCTTGCTAATGTCAGGACTTGTTTTTTTGAGACACCTTACTGGTCATTTGTATGTATATACTGTTATATTCCTTTTCTTAGTTTTTTTTCATTCACTCTAATGTTTCTTAATTCAAAAATTTTAAAATCACAGTCACATTTGATCAATTGATAGTCTTTTTTTAGTATTATATATAGTACACTTAATCAGTGTCACGTGCTATAAAGACTTAAAGCATTTAATTGTATGATTTGTTACATGGTTCATATTTATCAAAAAGGACTCCTCATATTGATAAGCTTTTTGTGGAGACAAACTTTTCTCATTTTGGGTTTTAGCTAAAAGTTGTTCTAGCGTGAGCTGCATGCAGCACTAGAAACTTTGGTCTGGTGTATGGTGCTTGAAATGCCCACTAGATGTCACTGTTGGCTTTTTCTTTGTAGCCCTAATTTTTAGTCATCAACCAAAGGCTTCAACTGATGCATTAGTTGTAGCCTTAGTTGTAGTTTTTCCTAGAGTGTATTCACATTGAAAAAGTCTTCGATGCATTTTGGGAAGTGTACATCCTCATACAAGATCTCTGTGTTTATGAAGATGTACTGTATCTTCTTGTAAGTTTGACAGTACAACACTCTTTTGAAAGGCTAATTGGAGAAACATTAAATGATGTTTGGACCTTGGGGTCCACCTGGTCTTTGCCTCTTTTATGTAAATACTAACACATTAGCTGTTTGGAAAAGGGGGTCTTATAGGTAGCTTATTGGTTGTCTCTTATATATTTCTGTATGCTGATGACATGGCCTCATGATAACAGTTAATCCTAAGGATTACCAAGGGAGAGTCTCAACTATCTTCCTGAATAACTTAATGAATATGCTATTTTTTGTATAGTTCTCACTAAAGAATCACAAATTTTGCGTGTTCTTTTAATTTGTACTTTCAACTATACATCCTTAGGCAATTTATTATATTTACTTTTATCTTTTGTATGTTCAAGAAGTTTCAGGTAGTATTTTGTGTCTTAAGGATAGATGAAGTAGATC